TTTGCATTTAATAGGCTCCGAAATTATTAAACCGATTTAAAAAATTGTATCACCATTAGCTACAATATCGTTGAGTTATATAGGTATATAAATTACATCACCGGGAAGGGTATGGATATAACAGAAAAGATACGTACATTCTTTCCAAGTTGGAGGGCATCGTTAATAAATAAATTTACTTGTACTTCAATTAAATTGCAAAATGCACATACAAATAATTTCATTACAAACGAAACGAAGGTAATTATTTAATTTACAATCGAGATAGCGTATAACAAATGTGATACAATAAGTAAATAAAAAACCGTCGACTACAGCGACCAGTTATCATTATGCAACATTCAATTCGGTTGTGTCGAATCATTTATTTTTAAACAAAGGAACCCGATCCGTTGAATTCTGTTCGAATTCATCAATCGAAATGATGATTCATTACTTTATGGTATGAACGAAAGCTTTCGACTCTTTTTTTCATTAAAAAAACACAGAATTGAGAACCTCTTTTTATAAGTCGATTAAAAATGTACTATCGTCCATCGTAAAGCAAAATACAGAGGTAGAGAAACTCGGTCGAAAACGTATCAAACAGAAGACAGGGTTGAAGTAGAAGTCATTCCTCATCCAGTCTATTGAGTATGCCTGGAAGCCTGATTTTAGTTCTCTTTCTACAAGGAACGGATGGTAAATTTAAGGGGAATTTGGTGCCGGAGGCCTAATTTTAGTCCCTTACCCTTTTCACCTTTTTCTTAAGAGGAAGTGATAGGAAGGAAAAGTGGATTTGACGGTGGAGGAGACGCATAGGAAGGGGAAATGTCTTCTTTCTGTGCGTCTACTCCTTTGTTGATTTATAAAGATATTAAGTTTTTATTAATGAGTGTCATAAGAGATCACAGGTGGGTAGGAAATATATGTCTTCGACTGCGCGTAACAAGTTATGTTTTAAAATAACATGAATTTTAATTATATTTTTTACAAAGGATTCATACAAATGGGTACATTATTTTATGAAACAATATCGGTTGGCGGACCGGAGAGAAATAGGAAGCCATTTTCGGCATAAATATTATTGGCCGCCTGTACAAAGGCTGTCAAAAACAGAACGAACTCCCGACTAGAACGGCATTGCACAAAAATTCGCTACAAAAAAATATGCCCGTAACTTATTCATAGTGAAAAAAAAATTATAATTTACCGATTATGTAATGTATATCAAAGAAACATTTATATTACGCTTGTGATTGATCTAATTGTAAATTAAAAACAAAGTAAGTAGCCAATGTATTCTTCCAGACTGTATTCTACATCTATGCCAAATTTCATTGATGTCCGTTCAGCCATTTAAGCTACAAACTCTAACAAACATCCATCCATCAATACAAATGTTCGTTATTCTATATATATATATATATATATATAT